CTGCAGCAAATACAGTTTATCTTTGTATCACAGAGAAAAAAAATTCTTTTGTTCAATTTCACACTAACTAAAATTATAAACAAATGAATTTTGTATTATATTTTATACATAAAATAAGTTTTCAGTTTGTTTTTTTATTTAATAATAAAGTAAGATGAAAAATAATATAGAAATAAAGGTGCAATTTGGTTAATTTAAAAAACATTGCAAATTTTATATCTTTTAAAATATATTTTGGTTGTTATATATAGATAACTATGAAAGTAAAGAATAAAAACAACAAAAAAAATTTTTTTCCCTGAAATTAAAAATTCAGGCATTATAGGGTTAAGTCTGATTTAATAAGGGACCAAGGGCATTCACAAGTTTTTCAAATTCAAATTTTATGTTAATTGATAACATTAACTTACTTAAATTACCCTACAGCGTGTGTTCAAGCTAAAACCAGAGAAGCAGATATAACATCTATAAATATCTTAACTTGTGATGCTTAAAATAAAATGCTATTTTTGGTATGGGTTGTGGGCTAACAAATTTTAACTTACCATATAATCCATGTGCTCAGACTAATTACAATGCAATGGGGCTCGGTTTTGGAACTCTTGTAGTGCTTCCATGAATGCTGGCTTTCTGAGTTTTCACCGCATCCCTGCAGACAAAAAGAATCCTCTGTGTACAACTTAACACATAAGATTGTTTCAAATGAATAAAAACCTAACCAGAACGCAAAGATTTGCTTTCTTTCCCATTTTCAAGCAGGAGGGACAAGTTACAGAAAGCAACACTGTGGGATAAACGATTTCAATTTACCCAAAGAATATGGTCTGTAACCTTGGTCCCTGAGAGCTAACCTAAAACACCTTGGAAATTCCCCAGTGATGGGACTACCTTGGATGGGACTTTAACTCCACACCTGAGACTGAAGGTGACTCTCAGGTCAGGGGCTGGTCTAGCCTCCCAAAACCACCACTAGGGGTTAGCTGACCTGGAGAGGATGAGAAAGCATAATTCAACCAATCACGCCCAGCCTCACCACCCCTTTCTCCCCCGAGGGACGCCCCAGGAAAGGCTCTGGACATGGAAGCTCCATGAGATAGTTAGTTTATTGTGCCAACCTGGCCGATAAACACGTGGGATTAATTGACGGGCGGAGAGATGAGGGGTTCGGCGAGCTTCACCTGTCTTGTCTCTTGCTCTTTGATCATCAGACCAGTGTGCGGCTGCCTCGCTTGTTCTGTGCCTCAATTTGCAAGCTACACTACCTGTGGGGCACCTAACCCATGGACTGTGTCGCAGTAATTTGAAGTTCCTTCAAGACCTGCTTCACACCGTTTGCATTTACATCTCTTGAGCTGGGGACTGTCAGACCCTGTCATCTGGCTGACTGTTGGTGACCTGCCTTG